TGCGTCCTGGCTGGACCTTGTTGTCCACGTCGTTGACTCGGAAAGCATACTCCTCGCCAGTCGTTTCATCCGAAGCTTTCCGCGCGTCGTCCTCCCGTCGCTGCTTCCGCCTGCAGGCTGCATCCCGATGCGTGTTGCTCTTACAATGACTGCACCACAGCTTACGATGGCACGTTCCGGCCTTGTGTCCACTCAGGCCGCATCTATAACAAACAATGTCCGCACACTTGGTTCCTTTATCCCATGCTCTTGGTACAGAGGGTCGTCTCGCTCTCAACTGTTCCCGCGCCCTCATGACGTTGTCCTCTGGTGGCGGTGTGCGCATTCGCTCAGTATCCTCATAGCTGCGGAGCTTAGTCTTAAATTCAGCAAAACTTATTATCCGGTCAATTTGCGTGATGTGTATGGTGAATGGTTTAAATGATTCTGGCAGTCCCTTCAAAACCATTGCTACAAGAAGCCCATCACTTAATTTCTCCTCCGCGTTTCTCAAAGCGGTGATGGCGGTCTCTGCACGTATTATATACTCCGTCACACTCTCACTGCTTGACTTTAGGAGTGATGTCAGTTCAGTATATAGGCTGATAATACGTGGTTTACCTGTGCCAGCATAATAGTCTCTTAAAATCTTCAATGCCTGCCGACCATTATCCGCCGCCTCCCTCATTACAAGGGACAAACTTTTGTCATCAAGAAATTGGATAAGCTCTGCATAAGCCTCTTCATTTTTCCTTTCATCGTCCGCCTCTTCATCTTCCTCTATTATGTCCGTAGGACTCCTTAAAATAGTATTCTTCAGTCCCTGTAAGCGAAGATGGCCTAAGAATTTCGTCTCCCACAGTTCATAGTTCTTCTCATCCCCGTCAAACACTAACCGAGACCAGCGGGTACTGGAACCTGCGCCCAACCTGCTCATGGCGTTAGCTTAACTTGCTAATCCACCACACGTGCTACGTTGCGACTTTCCATCGGTGGACAAACGCCGGAAATACTTATTTGGGTGTCTCTGGGCCCATAACCTGTTAGCAGAGTAAGCATAACTTCATTGCTGTTTAGCATCCAAATAAGCAGAGGAGTAACGAAACATCAGAGACAGTGGCATTTCATTCAACGTGGCCTCCCATTGGAGGCGTGGCTTTATTTATACCCATCATTGACCTTTAACCTGTTACGCTATTGGCTTCCAGTCATGCACAACAAATAACACAAATTGGTAACATATTTACCTGAATGTTAACAGTCCTGTTCCGTTGGGGGTCCCGCCGACTACTCTTCTGCCGGGGGTCCTGCCAACTCTATGTCCTGTGCCGTTGGAGGTCCCGCCGACTACTCTCCTGCCGGGGGTCTTGCCAACTCCATGTCCTGTCCCATTGGGGGTCCCGCCGACTACTCTTCTGCCGGGGGTCCTGCCAACCCTATGTCCTGTGCTGTTGGAGGTCCCGCCGACTACTCTTCTGCCGGGGGACTTGCCAATCCTATGTCCTGTCCCGTTGGGGGTCCCGCCGACTACTCTTCTGCCGGGGGTCCTGCCAATCCTATGTCCTGTGCCGTTGGGGGTTCCGCTGAGGGTCCTGCCAACTCCACGTCCAGTATCGTTGGGGGTCCTTCCAACACCTGTTCCGCTGTGGGTCCTGCCAACCCCATGTCCTGTCCCGTTGGGGGTCCCGCCAACTACTGCTCCGCCGGATTTCCTGCCAACACCAGATCCTGTCCTGTTGGGGGTTCCGCCGACACCTGCTCCGCCGGGTTTCCTGCCAACACCAGATCCTGTCCTGTTGGGGGTCCCGCTGACACCTGCTCCGTCGGATTTCCTGCCAACACCAGATCCTGTCCTGTTGGGGGTCCTGCCGACACCTGCTCCGCCGGGTTTCCTGCCTACACCATATCCTGTCCTGTTGGGGGTCCCGCCGACACCTGTCCCGCCGGGGGTCCTGCCAGCTCCATGTTCTGTTCCGTTGGGGGTCCCGCCGACACCTGTCCTGCCGGGGGTCCTGCCAACTCTGTGTCATGTCCTGTTGGAGGTCCCGCCGACACCTGTTCCACCGCCGGTCCTGCCAACTCTGTGTCCTGTTCTGTTGGGGGTCCAGTCGACACCAGCCCTTGCTCCATCCGGGGTCCCATTGACACCAGCCCATGTCATGTTCAGGATCCTGTCCCGTCGGCTCCGGTTCCTGTCCGGCCGATACTGGGTCATGCCCGTCCTCCGGAGTTGTCCCGTCAGCACCTTCCTGCCCGTCCTCCGGAGCTGTCCCGTCAGCGCCTTCCTGCCCGTCCTCCGGAGCTTTCCCGTCAGCGCCTTCCTGCCCGTCCTCCGGATGCTGTCCCGTCATGGCCTTCCTGCCCGTCCTCCGGAGTTGTCCCGTCCGCACCTTCCTGCCCGGCCTCCGGAGCTGTCCCGTCGGCGCCTTCCTGCACGTCATCCGGAGCTGTCTCGTCGGCGCCTTCCTGCCCGGCCTCCGGAGCTGTCCCGTCGGCGCCTTCCTGCCCGGCCTCCGGAGCTGTCCCGTCGGCGCCTTCCTGCTCGTCCTCCGGGGTTGTCCCGTCGCCGCCTTCTTGTTCGCCCTCGAGCCTGGCCCCCTGAGTGCCGTGGTCTTCGCCCTCGAGCCCGGCCCCCTGAGTTCCCCAGCCGCGGTCTTCGCCCTCGGGCTTGGCCCCCTGACTCTTCCAGCCGCTGCCTTCACCCTCGAGCCCGGCCCCCTGAGTGCCGCGGCCTTCGCCCTCGAGCCCGGCCCCCTGATTTCCCCAGCCGTGGCCTTCGCCCTCGAGCCCGGCCTCCTGACTCTTTCAGCCGCTGCCTTTGCTCTCATGCCCGGCCCCCTGAGTTCGCCCGCTGTGGTCTTCGCCCTTCCTTGATCTCTGCCTTGCCCCCGGGCCGTCCGCCCGAGACCCCTTCCGGGTCCTCCGCTGTGCCCCTGGGCTGTCAGCCCAAACCCGTCCTCCAGACCCCCTCCACCCACCCTTTTGGCCCTAGTTATGTGTCCCTCCTCCGGTCCCCCTCCACCCACCCTGCTGGATTTTTTTTTGACTTTTTTGGCACGTCTGGGATCCGTGCCTTGAGGGGGGGGGTAATGTCACGATCTGTCTGTGTTGTGTTGTGTCTTGTCTTTTTCTGTCTCTGGTTTCCTGTTTTGTTTTGAAATGTTTTCCTCCTTGTGTCTTGTCTGATCCTACTCTGTGGGTGTTTCTCAATCGCGAGTAAAGCTGCTTCAGAGCCACTATTTCAAGCATACTACGTCATCGAGTGCCGCCGAAGTACTGTTCCAATCTCCAGCATACTTGGAAATCTACCGAGCCCGGCGTACTCCGTTTGGAGAAATATCGAGGCTACACATGAGTAGACTCCGCGGTCTTAAAATCCCCACAATGCTTTGCGCACGGACCAATTTCCCCAAATCTGTGGCGGAAGATGTAAGGCGGGGCCTCTCATATGACGCACACCTGCACACTTGCTAGCCTGTTCCACTCTTCGTTTTCCGAATGCCAGGAAGTATTCTTGACTAGCTTCTGAAGCAAGATGCTCGGCAGACATGTGCTACCAAGCAAGCGTACTCGCGATTGAGAAACACCCCCTGTGTTTGCCTTCCCGTCGTTAGTTTCCCTGGTGTGTCTGATTTCCTGATTGTGTTCACCTTGTGCCCCTGTGTTTTCTCCTCCCTCCTCACCTGTGTCTTGTTGTGTGATTAGTCTTGTGTGTATTTAAGTTCTGGTTTTTCTGTCTGTCTTTGTTAGATCCTTGTTTGTCTGTGACTGTGTTAACGGGTTAGTGTTCTTTTTGTCACCGCTAAAACCGTAATAACGGTATTTTCTTTGTTATCTGCATTTGGGTCCTGCCTGCTTCACTCAACCCTAACACTCTCCAGTAGCCTACAGCGTTAGCTCCATGGCTAGCTCTGAGTGTTAACATGCTTGCTAATGTAAACACACAGCATATTACTCCCAAAACACGCCGCGCATTGTTTCTGATACAGCACATACAGTAGCTTGACATGTTCTTTCTTGTGTTTACCGCTAGAACAGTGCCATTATATGTATTATATATATAACAACTTTACTCTTAGTGGCTCCAGCAGACATCCTGCTAAATACACAGACACACAGCTGCCACTGTATACGGAGACGATAGGTTGGGACGTGTCGCGTGTGCCGGAGAATATAGGTTGGGACGTGTCACGTCGGCCGGATGTCGCCAATGACGTTATAGGAGCGAAAATTCTAGATCTGCTTGTTAGCAACCCCCTTTTTTTTTTTTTAGAGAGAGAGAGAGAGAGAGATGTGGGTACTGAGGAAAAGAGAGAGGGTTTTGTTTTCTGACACTTTGTGAACTTTGTAAAAGACATCAAAAAGTGCATTTTGCATAATAGGTCCCCTTTAAGTAAAAGTAGTACAAGTCCTGCAATCAAAATGTTACTCAATAAGAGGTAGCCTACAAAAGTCTGAGCATCAAAATATACTTAAAGTAGAAGTACTCTTTATGCAGATTGGCCCATTTCAGAACAATATATATATTATATGGTTTGATTATAATTACTTATACATTCATGTGTTTAAGCTGGTAAAGGTGAAGGTATAGTTTAATTATTTGTATGCTGCAGGGTTGCCTGTGAATGTACTCCAGGTTTAAATAAAATCATATTTAAGTTTTGACTATATTTCACAACATGACTCCAGAAGTTTAACACACACACACACACACACACACACACACACACACACACACACACACACACACACACACACACACACACACACCCACACACACACACCCACCCACACACACACACACACACACACACACACACACACACACACACACACACATCGTGTTGGCCCCTGTCATAGCCATGTCCCGTGACGTACAGTAGGAGCCATGTCCCGTGACGTATAGGAGCCTCCTTTATAGGATGCTGGGCGGTGGAGCAAAGCGCACTTTACGCAACACTCATCCTGCCGGAGTCTTCAATGTGATTACAATGCATCAAATAGTGGTGACTTGGAGAGAACAGACTGCCCCAACTTAGGAAAAAACTGTTAGAATAAGATTGAGTCTTTTCATTTACTGTGAAGAATAGAGATGAATATCTTTGGCAAATGATTAAGGAGTCAGAAAAGCCTGAACGCTGACTGAAATGAGCTGAATACGGAGAAAGGGACGCGCGAAGCTTCACGGTAACAGGTGGACCTTTGGATCTCGTTTTAGCCTTTGTGTCAGTTTTTTAACATCGTTTTAGCAGCTGCATGCTCTCAGCAGCTGTGGAGGAATGTGAAAACATGAAGTGCTCAGGTCTTCATGTCCCGGAGGAAACACAGCAGAGAGAAAGACTTAAGAAGGAAGCTCTTAAACTTTAAACAAAGTCACCAACCCTCCTCCAAAACTGCCCCAGAGTGAGGACAAGCTCCGATGCATGGACAGCAGGATGTTTTCTGGTCAGGATGCTCTGAATTTCAGCTTTAACCAGAGCGGTGACATGGAGCTGGTGGACGAGCACGATGAAGCCAGAGGGAGGCTGTCTCCCTCCGGCTTCGTCGTGCTCTCCGTGGTGCTGGGCTTCATCATGACTTTTGGCATCCTCAACAACTTCGTCGTGCTGCTTTTGTTTTGCAAATTCAAGAAACTGCGGACACCAGTGAACATGCTGCTGCTGAACATCAGCATCAGTGACATGCTGGTGTGTTTGTTCGGCACCACCCTCAGCTTCGCCTCCAGTATCCGGGGCAGGTGGCTGCTGGGGCGCAGCGGCTGCAGCTGGTACGGCTTCATCAACTCCTGCTTTGGTGAGCGCCTTTTACTGATGCTCCCTGCTGATCCTTGAGTAAAAACACAGCTTCAACTGCTGTGTTTGGTAAACTGATTGTGGTTTGAGTTAAAGTTAACCTTTCGACATATATCAATCAGAATCAGAATCAGAATACCTTTATTAGTCCCACAGAGCGGAGATTTACATTGTTACAGCAGAAAAGAGCCAAAGACAGCTTAATATTACCTAAGAAGCATGCATAAAAACATATCAAAATAGTTTGAGTGTACATTTATGTGAGTCTTACAGTATGTGCTATGCTTACTTAAAAACACGTTTCTATCAGTATGTCATTGACAGTTGTTTTTTTTCTATTTTGAATAATACTGAAGATCCTACAAATATTTTGTTTTCATATTCTATGATATAGTTTATCATTTTATAAAGAGGACTTTTAATATATAACTGCATGCTTACATGTTTTTTTACATCTGTTAAGTGGCCAAAAACAAACCAGGTTACTCATACAAAGATCACAATAGCAATGTTTTGTGATGCCTCATTTTTTGTATACTTAAATGACACTAAAAATCACAAATACAACATTGGTTCTTATATCATAGGCTGTGACTGAGGGCTTGAATCAACCTAGACAGGTGTTTATGGTTTTATATGTTACGCATGCCTCCGTAGCAAAAAATTAAACAAATTGTTTCTGTAAAGATAAAAAAACACAATATATTGTGATATAGTAGTCCACTTTTTGGGAAGTAAATTATGAAAAGTAGAAATGACTGCTGCTCGTTTGCTTTTACTGAAACATTAACGGAAACTGGATAGCCTATATCTTTTAACATTTAAAGGTATAGCTCAGTGTAAATAGGCAAATCCATTCCCTGGATATATCACCATATCACTTGTTCGTTGCTTATATTCCCTCTCACAGTAGATCAGTGACTATATGAGATCTAAAGGGGATTGGATGTGTTGATGTTCTCAGTAGAGCAGACCCTCTCTTTGCTGCACCATCTGTCTAATGACTTCACTGAGGGGACTCACTCAAATGAAGCTGTAAATGCTTATTTGCGGAAATAATTGGCTTTTTTGTTGGAAGGGTAGAAAAGGGAGCAAGGGCAAGTTTGGTGTCAAGGTATACAATGTGTGTGAACCTTTGTGTGAGAATGAAAAAATGATGCTGAATGTTCATAATGAGTCAAAAAAAGCTCTAGTCAGTGCTCTCTATACCTAGGGACAAAATATGTGGTGACATTGTTGCTGTTTTGCCATCAAAACCTAGTTTGGCACATCTGTACTGCAATCTCTTGTTGCTTAACGCCTAACATATACACCACTATGCATCTAAGTGTGATCATGAAATACATTTATGACTTCTCACAAGCCTCTTTTTAAAAGAAACATGAGATTGTTTGCTTTACTGAAATAGCTGAAAAGATCTTGGCAAAATTCCAACGTTGTGTGAGTTAACCTAATTGTGATGCTTTGTTGGGGTTTGTGATTACTACTCTTATTGTAATTAGAGAGGTGTACCTGAAATAAGTTTCCCAAACGTGATGAGAAAGCCAAAAAAAAATCGAAATCTTTTCTTATTGTCAACAAATTCCGGAGAATGTATTTACTGACATCTATTTCCTGATATACACTTATACACAATGTTGTCCAAAAACGATTGAAAACAAAGTCCTGTTGTGAAAGATTCAGGTTTTCAGAAGAAACAAATTAGAAAGGAAGTTGGCAAGAGTACTAATGCATGTTTGAGGTGGATTAGTGCTGGCCTGAGCGGATAAAAGCTCTTACTGGCTTTTCAACATCAAGCATTAAAATGCTTTTTTACAACCATAATTCACTGTTACAAATGGACTCCACATTGTTTGAGTTGATGCAGTCAATTGAGCAATTATCTATTCAGGCAAACACATACTGAATACTCCACTTGACTTGCACGCTTGTTGTTCTGAAAAAACTGTTAATTCCCAGGCTTGCTGTGAATACATAATCACTCCAATCATTGAGCCCAATTACAGGGCTGGAAAATCAACTTGACTCCTCGCGTTACACCGAACACTGCAGGTATCTCTCCTGTCGACCTCCTAAAGGGTTACTCCTTGTTTGTCTCTTGGGAACCAATCTCCACTCATCCATTTTGAATACATATTGTGCTTGGCAGAATTTTAAAAGACACCCTGAAGAAATGTGTTCCTTAATGTATTCTTCTTTTTGTTCCCTTTGTATAATAAATGTTCCTGTTTCCCTCTGTTGTCACATATAGTTTTTCCACCCTCTCATCTATACTTAATCTTCGCCTGCTGCACACAGGTCTTGACTCATGGTGCTGAATGCTGGAGCTAGATATCAAGAGATAGATATCTTTATATATATTACTGGCAATGAAAAAACATAAATCTTTTAACAAGACACTTGAGCAGATACAAGCGGGTACAAGTGCGGAAGAAACAGAGTCATGTTTTCTATTTTAATTCTTATTTCTTCTTATTCTTCTATCAATGTGAACAAACTGCATAAAGATAATCTCACCATGATATTCTGAGACCTCATTTGGTGCATGTTAATAACATTATGTGTACTTTGTCTCGCATATTAGGGTAACGTGTAAACATGCTGTGATGATTAATTACGGTTTTTGATTCTCATCAATCTCGCAGCATCGTTCACAATAAGTACTCCTATACTTGAATGAAGCGTAAACAATATGTAAATGTGTTCACATATTGAACAGCATCCAGCACATTAACATCGTCAAGAACATCTTGTTCTCTCAGTGTTGTTGAAAGATCATTCATACACCATCTGTTTCACATGTCTATTGATGCATGGCCACGCTTTAACAAGTGGAGGGCTTTGGTGAGACCACAAACACTCTTCTTACGGAAATGCCGGATTTAAATTATTCATTTAATCTATAGATCTCCCTGCCACAATCTCCACCATCAGATGAGATAGCAGAGGAGCTGCTCCTCGAAGTCACTTCATGTGTAATCGTGTCATATCACACTGTGTTGCTCTGCTCAAGGCAAGTTAAAAGCAAGTTAAAAAATAAACGCCTTTTGAAGGTGACATTCATATTGCAGAGAGCAGTGAAGACGTATTAAGCCACCCGAGTCTTCTAAAGGTATTTTTACAGATGAAACAGGCATGATGCAGGATGACTCATACTAGATACTCTTATTCCATCAATTTAGAAAAGTTCTTTAAAGATGAACAAGACTTTCATGAACTATAAACACACCGTGAAAGTTATGATACAAAAACACGCAAACCAGATAATCCTGTAGTACTGACCTGTCAATCAAAAGATAGGCACGGCCTAAAAGAAACACTGATTTATCGTGGAAAAAAACAACTGTTTTGAAGAAGATTTTAAAGTAGCATTCAGGACTATAACCTTACTAATATATGGTTTACTGAGGTAATGAATCAAGGGAGAATAAGGAACATTTTCTCATAGATTTATACACCTACATCAGTTGCCTCCTGCTGGACATTAGAAGGAATGCAGCTTTAGGGCACTTCAGCAAAGGCTCTTTTTTTTTCAGGAACAGGTAAACCCCTTGAACTCTCCTCAGTTTTCACTCTCAGTTTTGTTTAAAAAAAAAGTAGTGTGGCATTGCCCACTAAGGCTTTGTTCAAATACAAGCAATGGATGTTCTCAATCAGATCATAGCATTTAAAAAAAAACACTTCATACATTAGTGACATATTTCTCAACAGATGTTGTTTAGAATCCAGACAGAGGAATCATTTCTAACGACCTATAGCCAGATTCAACATAACAAATAAAAATACACCTGTCATCGACATGTCAATGTATCCACGGGCAAGATATTTACAGCAGTTTAATGTTGCCTTTTTCTCTGTATGAATGTGTGTGAATGGTTGAAGGCTGGCTTGAATATGTAAGGCCTTTCAGGGTTTGTAAAGACTGGAACAGCACTATATCAAATGCAGTCCATTTACCATTTAAAATGTATTGGTGTATGGGAGAATGAGTGGAAAATACTGGCAGGTGTTTGTATGGGAGTCAGACCACCTGCACAGCCTGACCCTGGCACCATCATCTTTGAAAAACACGTTATGTAACCAGGAACATGTTTCAAAGTATTCTGTGAGCAGAAACAGGATTGGGGAGTGAGCAAATTGATAAGCTAGACCAGGGGTCGGCAACCCCTGGCACGCGTGCCACCAATGGCACGCGGCACCGTAACCAGTGGCACACTAGGAATAAGTGGAATAAGTGTGCAAAATATTTAAATTTTATTTTCGGATCCTGAACGAGACCGCCGCCAGAGCGCGTCTCCCCGTTACCTGCAGAAGGATGCATGCACGCAGCGCAGCCCCGCTCTGTTTAACTCCAGGCGACTTTCTGCCGCTTTCCTCCGTAATGCAGTGCTCATAGTTTCACCACAGAGGAAAGCACTTCACAAATTGCAATACTCATAACGAGCTGTAAAAATGCCGCAGTTTTTGCGTGGCGATCGATATCGGCCGATACTCACTCTCTGCCGATCGATCGGTGCTCTCTAAAAAGGCCGATCGCGAGACGTAAAATACATGACACTTTTCTCTGTGTGCGGCAAAACAAGCTCGCCAAAATCGCTTCATCACTCTGGCAGTATTTTAAGGTGTCCGAAAAAGACAATAAAATAGCGGTATGCAACGTGTGTGAAGCAGAAATCCTGCAGCTCCGCCCGCTGTGACGGACCGGTGAGCGGAGCAGAACACACAAGAGTTAAGACCTAACACACTTAGCTATTTTATCTACCTCTGGAACAAGCTAAACTAGTTATAAATATATGTATTCTTCACTGTCACTCATTACTGGATTAGTGAGCTGCATGAGATACTGACAGGCTGTCAGGAGAGAGAGAGAGGGGGAGAGAGGGGGAGAGAGGAAAAGAGAGCGCTTCCGCTCATTTCTCCCGTGTTATTATCCAAAGTTAATGTAAACTTGAATAATGTCTTCATTTGAATCTAACAATTATGTTGGTTGTTGTTTGTGGA